CCCCCCCCCCCCGCAACTGGCATTCCCCACGGCCGCGGCCCCAGGAATCAGAGTTGGGCCCTAACCACTGACCTCTTCTACACATAAGCATACACACAGCAACCACAAGCGTGGCCTCGGGGCCCAAGCAGCTATAGAGACGCACACAAGAACGTGCACACCAACAGGAATGCAAGCGGATTCAACCAACACCTCCCCGACACGCCCCCCTCCCCCAAATTCTGTGAGAAGGATCCCGACTCATGCCCCCGGCTTTCTTTCTAGAAAGAAGCCCCCTACTCCTGCCCATATGCCTACCTCATCTTCATTATAGGTGGCCCCCACTTCTGTCCCCATTACCTCACACACACACCAATCCCTACTGGGCCCCCTTTGCCGGCCGGCATCATCACCACCTTCAAGCTTCCTAGCTCCCCAGTCGTGTCTGCCCCCTACTGGGTCGGCTCCAGGTTGCAGGAGCAAAAGGCTTTCTGTGCCCCAGATTTCCAGGGTATCAGCAGGGCCCCCCTTCCCCAGAAAGGTAGCAGCAGAGCTACTGACCACTGACAAGATTTCTGGGCCCTTGTGCTAGAAAGGACTCCTAATCCACCTGCTCCAGCCAAGAGAGCAGTCCAGGGTCATGTTTCCCACACACCAGCCTACATCAAGGCACCCAGCTTCAACCATGAATTTTCTTTTTTCTCTTGGCACTCCTCTGAAATAGAAAAGGTATCAGACCTGACTAGGGTGAACATGTGGTACGTATAGTTGGCATCTCCATCCACTTAAGCCATTACTTGGAAGAGGACAGATAGGGAGTCTGAGGTGGACAGACGAAGTTGTTTCTGAATGAAGAGGAGAGAGGCAGGGTGGCCCTCTAAAAAGGTCAGCCAGAAGTAGTTGTATCTGATCCACTGGGTGGCAGGGAATGAGACTCTTGCGGTAAAATGGACTGGAGACTTAGAAGGAAAAACAGAAGGTCAAAGTGGCCCTCCAGACAGGAAAGGAACAGCTAGAAAAAGGTCTTTGCAGTATGGGAAAGCGAAAGAAAGGTGTCATTAGTACCAAAGAGATGGCTGGCATTAGAGTGGTCAAATAGGATAACTTGAGAGTTCACATGAGCGGGGATGGGAAGAAATGGATCAGAATCCTAATGAGAAAAGCAGGGGTCCCGATGTTACCTGGAAGGATGAGAAACTGACACCTTCTCCCAGGGCAGAAGTGAGGGTACTGACTGACCTAGGAAAAGTGGGTTTACCCCCAACACTTTTTTCTCAAACCAGAGGTAGTAAGGGTGACATGGAGCACGAATGCACAAAGGGCAGAAGTCTGTGATAGGAGATAGCAGCCCCCCACAGAAGTCCTCAGCTGTGCAGAGCTGCTCAATACCATTCAAACAAAGGAATGTCTCCCCATTTTATCTGAGCTTTAGCACCAACCACAGCAGCTACCATTTCCTGAGGCTCATGTGCCAGGGACAGTGCTAAAAGCATTACATGCATCATCTCATTTAAAGCCTCACAACAACCCTGAGTTAGTATTACTATCCCAATTTAAAGATAAGGAAAAGGGCCTGGAGAGTTGAAGTAGCTTGCCCAAGGTCACACAGCTCTTAAGTGGAATCAGGATCTGAATCCAAGTAGTCTGACTCTATAACCTACAGTCTTAATCACCCATCTTGGGGTTCTCCGGAGCCTGCAGGAAACCCAAAAGAGGACATCGAGGACTCCTCAATTCTCGTTCTTAGAGGAAACAGGGGCACCTCTGTGAAACCGGAGTGACTCATACCAGTAGAGTATTTAGAAATGTCCCTCTTTAAAAGAACTGTCCCCAGATAAGGGAAGATCTTGCATGTGCCGTATGTTTGGGGGTACCGAGCAATGGAAAGCGCATCCCCGGTAGGCTTGTGCAAAAGAGACACCCACCTCCTCATCTCGGAGGAGCACCCACATCTCTAGCATACTTCAGGGAGACTCTGCCCTAGGGTCTGAGAGAAACATTCTCCACTCCAGGTGTCGGTTCGCTCTCCCGGAGCCTCTGGCTGTCGCACCCTACTGCAGCTCCTGGGTTTGGCTGGAGCGCAGGATTAGCCATCCCCAGGAAATGCCTCCCTCCGGTCCAGGCAAGGATCCCAGCACACACACCCCTGGTGTGTATGTGTGTGTTGGGGGCGGGGGGGAATGCTTCCTCCTCTCCAGGTCAGGGAAGAGATGTGGGGACCACCTGGGGGCCCTTACCCCTCCCACCTCCTTGCTGGGGAAGTGCCCAGTCAGTGCCCCTTCCATGGCCACCTCCCTCCCCCTCGCTGTGCCGGGGCATGAATCAGCTCTCACAGCTTGTTAAAGCTAGACCTCTTGTTTTCATGCCCTCACCTCAGGAAACAGAGTTACAGCTTTTCCAGCTCTGCTCAGCAGGGGGCCAGGGTCCTCACTTTATAAACATCCCAAGCCTGTGAGAGCAGAGGGCAAGGAGATGGTGTGAGACAGGAGCCCAGGGGAGAAAGACAGAAACTAAGACTCAAGGAGAAAAACAAAGAAAAGCCAAAGAGACAAGACCAGAGTAGTTTGGAACAGAGGCCAAGAAGGGATCGAGAGGGCTGTGCTGCAGGAATGACCCTAATGATGCTCTGGTCTGGACAGGCGAAGGGAGTCCTGGGAAGCTGGGGGATCATCTGCTTGGTGATATCTCTGCTCCTCCAGCAGCCAGGAGTCCACAGCAAGTGCTACTTTCAAGCTCAAGGTAAAGCTGGGGGAGGTATCTGGAAAGGCCGAGGACAGAGGGAGTTGGGATGAGGGGGGCTTAGAGATGATCCTCTATCAGAAAACCTAGACTCCCTCCAGCTCGGAAACTGGAGAGACTAAATATGGAGGTGATGTATACTTACTTTCTCCCACTGCAGACCACAAGTGATTTTTGTCTGCCACTACCACTCCCACACACACTAACATCTCCTGTTCTTCCCTAGCCCCCTGCCACTATGAAGGGAAATATTTTAGCCTCGGTGAGTCTTGGCTCCGCAAGGACTGTTTCCATTGTACCTGTCTGCATCCCGTCGGTGTGGGCTGCTGTGACACGTGAGTGACCACAGACTGCCAGGGTATAACCAGACTGTTGTGGTGGGAAAATGAACAGAATAGAGGTATGAGGCTGGCTGAACCTGAAGGTACCAACAAGAGTGAGAGAAAGAGAGAAGGCTGCAGGCTACGAAGTGAGGGATGTAGGGGGCGGTCTGGAGGGAAAATATTTCTGCTATGAAACGAAAAAATCCATATATGGCAGGCCAGGGCTTAGTCACAGGGAACAAGAGGGCACTAAAGACATGGGAAGAATGCTGGCAGAGAAGGAAAGTAGGGCAGGGATAAAGGGGGCCTTCACCATGCTGACTCCTTTCCCATGCTTTGCTTCCCCAGGTCTCAGCATCCCATCGACTTCCCCGCGGGGTGTGAGGTACGTCAGGAGGCAGGAACCTGTCAATTCTCCCTGGTGCAAAAATCTGACCCTCGGCTGCCCTGCAAAGGGGGAGGGCCTGACCCCGAATGGGGCTCAGCCAACACCCCTGCCCCTGGGGCCCCTGCTCCCCACTCCAACTAAACTCAACCGATCACCCTTCCGCTAACTGCCCACTGCTGCTGCCACTTCCAAGGAAACCACTAGCAGCTGCCAATTTATTCTGAATAAATAAATTAATGCTACAGCTAAAAGCCTGCCTCTCATTGTCCATGCCACTGGACCCAGGTGGGGAAAATGGGCCCTACTATAGAGTCCAGGTGCTGAGTTCTCAGTATCCTGAAGAAAGATAGCGTCGTGGTGAGTCAGTTTCAGATGGTTATGGTGCTGGTGCTGGGGCCTGGGGCTGCATATGAGGCCAGGGTAGGGCTTGTGGGCAGCACCTTGATTGGAAGGTCCCAGCTGAAGGTGTCTACGGGCACTTGCTCAGGCCCTGTCCAGGTGACAGGCTCAGGCTGTTCCAAGGGAGGTAGGAGCACCAAACCTGGTTCTCGCGATGTTACAAATTCAAAATGCAATCTCCACTTCAGGGACACTGTGGAAAAAAACAGATAAAGGTGGGGAGGCATTAGAAGGCAGGAGTAAAAACCAATGCAGGATATGGTTAGCAAATGGGGGGAAAAAGTGGTATTCAGGAAGAAGAGAAGAAGTCACAGGGCTAGGATCAGGGATTTCTCTAAAGAAATCCAGTGTTAACCAGAAACATGTCAACAGGATAGCAAGGTCAAGCATCTAATAATCTAAGTGTGGAACAGTCAAGACTTGGTAGATTAAAGTAAACACGCTGGGGAATCAGAGATCAGTGCATCATAGGGTCTCAGTGGGTAGGGGCAGTGAAGGACATCTGTAAAGCTCTTAAGAATTTAGAAGTTAGTGCATCTAGGAAACAGACTGAATGTCTGAGAAAGTGTTACATGTCGGAGGCTGGGTGTGGGTATGTCCAGGAGTTTGTTAGGAATCAGGACCCATTACACTCTACCTAAATACAGCATTTTACTCGCCCCCCCCCCCCCCCCCCCCCCCCCCCCCCCCCCCCCCGCCGATGATGGTCTGGGTCTCACCAATGGCTGTGCAGAATCCTGGGGTGGAGCTGAGAGGGATGGGGAGGGAGAAGCTGGTTCTGGTTGTATGTAGGCAGGACTCCTGGTGCCGGGCATGAGTCACATGAGAGACAGAGGGGATACCCCCTGTCCTGCGGCGCCTCTGGTATTCAGGCTGTACACGTTCCTCAGTCTGTAAACTTACTGAAAACTGGGAGCAAGAAGAGAAGTGGTTGCTAGCAGGCACTTGAAAATAAGGACTCTAGGTGAGAGGCTTGAGCCCAATCTCAAGCTATTTTACCAAAAGGACCCTGGGTGACCACACTATTCACTTCTACATACCACCCCTCTTTATGTAGGCCCTTCCTCCTTCCTCCCTAGCCCTCCAGGCCCAGCACCCCAAAATCCCCTTTCCTTCTCACCTGCAAACAAGCTACAGTTCCTTCCCCTAAGTTTAAGGTCCCCACCACATCCTCGCCGAGTCTGTATACAGATTTGAAGATGCCAAATGTCCCAACTTTTCCTCGGCCATCACTGATATTGTATAGATCTGGGAAGAATGGGACACTATGAGCCTGGAGTCCACACTGGGGAGTACCAAGGGCTGGGAGCCAGAGGCCAAGGTGGGGTTTTTCTTTATAATGTGGGATGAGTATCAGTGAATCCTCAAGAAGCATATGGCAATTAGGAAAATCTGTCAGAGACAGTAATAATATGGGGGTATGGGGGAGGGCAATTGTGAAAGGATTCTCACGGAGGCTGCGGCAGGATGTGGCAGCCATGAGACGCTCCCCAGCCAGCTCTGCTAGCCATGAATCCTTCTTCCCACCTTCATCCTCCTCCAAGAATGGACTAGATGGGGCTACAGCCTCATCCTGGGGAAACCGGATATCTTGAAGGCCTACAGAGAGAAGAGATGGAAAGGTAGTGCTAGGAGGGAATAGACAGTAGAGGTTAGGGTTTTAGACTCCAACCTGTGACGGCTGAAGGTAAGGGGAGTCACATCCCAGGTACACATTTCAACCTAGTCTCCAGAAACCGCCCCCCACCCCCCAACTTGCACCTTTACTAAGACCAGGAAGCTTCCCTCCAGCCCCCCTCGCAGGCCCTCTACAGATCATTTCTGCTTTGGTGAGGTTCTTCCCCAGCCCTTCCCTCCAGGAATCCTTACTTACCTGTCAGCACAAGAACCCTCAGAGGGACCCTGAGTAAAGTGATGGGTGAGTTGACACGCTGGCAGCCAATGGTCAGTTTGTAGACATACTTGACTGACTGACCCCGAAAGGAGGGTGGTCCCTCTATGGGCAGCACTTCACTGTAGGAGTCTGGTTGGGAAGTAGTAGTCAGGCCAGCCAGAGGCAGCCAGAGAAGTCCTCCCTCCAGGAGCCTTAGAAGGCAATCCAGGGGTGGGAAAGAGATAGGCACTCACATGATTTGGACTCTCCAGGATCTAGCCTCAGATCACAGAAAAGGATTTTTGGTGGAGTGGAAAGGATACACTGACCCCTCTCACCTGAAAGAGATAAGAAAGACTGCAATTTAATGACCCACTGTCTAGGGGCGCCTGGGTGGCTCAGTCGGTTAAGCATCGGACTTCGGCTCAGGTCATGATCTCACGGCTAGTGAGTTCGAGCCCCGCGTCGGGCTCTGTGCTGACCGCTCAGAGCCTGGAGCCTGTTTCAGATTCTGTGTCTCCCTCTCTCTCTGACCCTCCCCCGTTCATGTTGTGTGTCTCTCTCTGTCTCAAAAACAAATAAACATTAAAAAAAAAAATTAAAAAAAAAAATGACCCACACTGTCTAGTACTAGGTGAAACTAGCACAGCAAGTGGGGGCAGCCCAAAGTGAGCTACGCTTATTTTCTTGTTGTAAGATACAAACAGTCATATACCCCCAAAACAACAATTACATTCCCCGACATTCCCAATATGACAGAAACTATAAGGACCCACTAGAACAACTTAACAAATTCACTCTCAGGTGACAATGACTCCACCCCCTTCCAAAGGCAAATGCCCATCTTTAACCTCGGTGTGGTAGAAAGACAGTCTGGCTCTCAGGCTGGACGTCTGGCTGACTGGAGTCAGGGGGAGGTAGTGCTACTCGACTCTCACTGGCATGGAACTGGCAGTGGATTTGGGCACTGGCCCAGGCCAAAGCCTCACTATGGGAAGAAGAAAAGAAAGCATCAGAGGGGAGCTCCTGACCTCACAAATGCTCTCCCAAACTCCCCCCCACCCCCCCACACCATCTGAGGAGACCAACATGGTGAAGTGGCTGTCTTAGGGATCGGGGAATCCTGAACCTCAAAGAGAATCCATTAAAAAGAAGTATACTGTGGGTAAAATGGAAATGGGGAAGGGGAGAAGGGAGCGTGGAGGGCTCTGTCAACCACACGTTCAGTTCAACAGCCCTTTCCTACAATGAGAGCGCAATGAGCAAGAAGGTGGTGGTGTGCTACAGGACAATCTGAGCTCTGGCTTAGCACCATAGAAACCAGGCTTCCTCCCAGAAGAACCACCTCCTTCAGTATCTGCATCCCCACCTGGATGCAGAAGTGGCTGTGGGGGGCAGGGGGTTGGTGACTGTCACCACACACTCAAGCGCCTCCCCCGCCAGAAACACAGGACCTCGGCTCAGCTCTGCTACCACTTCAATCATGGCAGCTCCGGAATCAGATCTAAAAGGAAACAAGGGGGGTCAGAGGTCAGTACCATGGCAGGGAGGGGCGTCTGCGGAGAACCTTGGGGCCAGGACAGAGGAGACCAGCGGCCACCAGCACGGTGTCTAAGTGAAGCGCCTGGCTTTGGGGTGCGGGAAAGTGGATGGAAGTACGGGTGGCAGCTGACCCAGTAGGGGGAGGACGTCTCTCTGGGTTCCAGACCCCCGCCCCTCTCAGTACCGAGTTAGTCCCCCTACCTCCCGGAACCCCCAAACCAGCCTCCCCAACCTCCCTCCAGGCTCCAGGTCCCAGCCCAACGCCACGACCGCCCGTCACCTCGTGCCCTTAGCCCGGGCACCTCACACGGTCGAATACCCGGTCTCGGCACACCGAGGCCCTCACCTGCCCGCCTTTCCACGACCGGGCCAAGTGCGTGGCGGCGTCCGCAGCAGAGGCGGGACTTCCCTTCAGCCCCCCTTCCCCACCGAGCGCCTTCCGACCGGAAACGCCCGGCTGATCGGACCGGAAGGGGCTCGGGTTGTCCCGCCGCCTTGGGTCACCTTCCCACAGGCTGGCACCCGGGCGCAGGCGCTGTCCCAGACGCCAACCGGCGGGACCCGGCGCCCTACCCAGGGCGGGGTGGGGCCTGGCGCCACGGCCCGGAGACGGGGCTCAGGCGGCCGCAAGCTCCCAGGCCGGTCCCGGGGGCGGTTCCTTGCGGGCTGGCCCCCGGGGCTCCTCCCCTTTCCGCGGGCTCAGTCGCCCTTTGGCTGGGCAAACTAATCACCGCGGCCCAATGACGACGAGACCCGATCCTTCCCTCCCAGGACCCAGAGAGAAGACCGAGGGGGAGCCCGAGGCGGCTTTATTGCTGTCGCCGCCAACGCCGCTGCAGCAACAGCTCCCAGGCTCCACGGAAACACTAGCTCACCTCGGCTTTCCCCAGCGCCTGGCCCTCCGAGACGACACCTAACAACCACCGCCGCCCGCATCTGGACTTGCCTAGAGAGATACTTTGTACCCATAGACTTGGGACCCGGGACCATCGAGGCCGTGGGGACCCAGGATCCTGAGAACATGGGAACCGGAGTCCCAGCCTCGGAGCAGACTAGCTGTGCCAAAGGGGATCCACAGGTTTATTGCCCTGATAATGCTGGAGGCACTGAGGCTGGGCAGGTTACAGACTGCGACAGCCCTGAAGACAATCGGCCCCTAAGTGAGCCGGGCTGCAGCAATCCGCAGGACTGTGGGCAACTGATGGCTTCTTATGAAGGCAAAGCTAAGGGCTACCAGGTGCCTCCCTTTGGCTGGCGCATCTGCCTGGCTCATGAGTTTGCAGAGAAGAGGAAACCCTTTAATGCCAACAACATCTCCCTGAGCAACCTGATAAAGCATCTGGGCATGGGCTTGCGGTGAGTAGATCCCATTGCCTAGAGTACTTTAGGTTTCACTTTGTTCCAGCACAAGATTTCCAGCAGAGGTGAGAAAGGGTGAGAAAGCAGGTGGGTGCCTTGTTCCAGTCAGTTGGCCCCTACCCCCAACATATTCTAAAGCCTGTGGTTTGGAGCGCCGGTGAGACCGGTGAGACCGGGTCACATCTCTGCATCCCCCTTCCTCCCAGAAACTTGTCTTTCTAGTAGGAAAGAGCAGGAACATCTTGGGCCTGCAGTCATCCTTTCCCATTTAGGCTCCATCTCACTCCTTTTCCAAAGACTTCCCTTTGGCATTTGCTATACTTTGTAGCAAGGCGGGAAAGGATAGTCTGTCTACTATGGTACAGACACAATGTTGTTTTAGTCCTTATTCCAAAGGGGCGAGTTCTCAACCTGATTCCCCTGAGTAACTGGGGTGTTCTGTCTGCCTCCTTTAAAAGGCACACCACATTACAGTCCCAACACCCATTGGTTTCTTTCAAGCTTTAGCTCTAGGGAGTGGGTGACAGCCTGCCCGCTCTCACCCTAAGGAGAGGGGTGTGCTGTTCACTTTATTCTGAGATAGACAATCCCTGATACAAAAAGCAGAGATCTCTGGCCAGAGAGGCACTGCCATAAGTGTCCCTAGAGCTCTAAGTAATATAGTCTTCCAAGGCCTGCTCTGGTACCCCTTCCCCCAAGGGTTGCAGACACCCCACGAGCTTATCCTGAGCTGTAGAACTCCTTTAGATCCTTACAGATCCCCACTGAGTTCAGAAGCTAGTGATGAGAAGCCAAGACCTATTAACAGGAACAGGTGGATATGAGGACAGAAAGCATCACCCTTAGGTCATTCTGAGTCAATCCACAAAGTAAACACAGCTGGGGATGGCGGAATAAAGGTTAGAAAACCCAGCTCTAACAGCCTCTAAAGTAGGGGACCCTTCCCTTTCAATCAGTGCTGTAGGGCTGGGTTGGGAGCACATTTACCTTACCCCAGCCCAGCCCTAAGCAGTGGGAAGGGCCTGACGCTGCCTGGGTATCTGGCTCCTCTGCTAGTTCCTGTGGGTGGCCTGTACTAAAGAACAATCATCCCTCCAGGTTACTTCAGAAACTGACTCAGCCCAACTCTGACCCCCAGAGCTCTGGGTCAAAATAAGATCTGAGGGCTAGAGTACTGAGAGAAGCACAATGGGATGCATGTGGTAGGACACTGAGATCAAGAACGGGTAGGCCTCCTAGCCCCTCAGCCCCTAAGTGTGAGCTGAGTCAGAGGCCTGAAGCTGTGTTCAGCCCCCTGAACCTTGGCTCCACATGCCAGGATAGGGTGGAGATCATTGTCATGGGGCTTTTGGAATGGGATGAGGTCCTGCACTGAGGAGAAAGCAGGGGTGAAACAAGGAACAATTAATTGTGAATGATAATTCTTAAATTGGGGCTGAAATAAGGGAGAAGGCCAAATGGGTCAGGAATGGCCAGCTGCTAAATTAGGGGAATGAGAGATGAACCCTAAGAGGAGACCAAACTGGAGGTTTGCTGATCAGGAGTTGCAGCAAGCCAGAGTTCTCTTGGCCTCATTGTGGTGACTCAGTTTTGATTGCTCTCCCTTCCAGCCTGAGTCCATTCATTCAATATATGTTTACTGAGTGCTTGTTCTACACCAGATACTCTTTTGTTAGGCTTACCTTCAGATCTTGCATTTCTCCCTCACTGCCCTAATCCCTGCTGTAACCTCCCCCCCCTTCTCCATTCCTTTATGGCCTCTAGTTTCAAAGTCCAGTTCCCTCTAAGCTGGCAAAGAGGACCTTCTGCTTTCCCATCATCTCCTTTGTCTTCCTCTTTCCCCCCCGCTTCCCCCTTCTCCCAGAATGTACCCTCCCTATTCTCTAATCACATTTCTCCTCCCCTTGCGCCTCTTCATGTTCACCTGTGTAGTGCCCCACTGTTTGTACATTCACTGGTAAATTCAGCAAATAATCTACAGACTGCAGACCATGAGCCCTGCCCTGTGCTTAAAGCTGTGGTAATAATCAGCTAGTCTTTGTCACTATCCCTTTCCCCAAGAAATTTAAAAGTGTGTCAGACTCGTGTGAGAAACACTGAAAGAACAAGACAGCATCTGATTGGGAGTTCAGATAGCGTATGTGCAAGTAACAGTAATACCTGACACAGGTACCCTGTGGCTTTCCTATTTATAATGTTATTTGCTCTTTCAACCATTCCATGAAATAGGCAGGGCAGGAGGTACCCCATTTTGTAGATGAGGAAACTGAGGCTTAGAGGAGTTGTTTACCCAATTACATAGTTACAAGTGGTGTGCTTTGAACAATAGGTATAAAATGGCTGGCTAGGGAGGAGAATAGAATTGGGAGAGTCTGGTGGGACAAGGGTCGCTTAGTGATGACTCACTCTGAATGGGAACCTGTAGGACTTAAGATTGGAAGAGAGGCTGAAACCAATGTCAGCGCCTTGAATCCCAAACAAAACCATTTGCTTATTGGATACAGAGCTATGACAAGACCAGGAAATCCCCAGGTAGGGATTTTTAGGCTTTACTAGGATACTATGAGAGAGCAAACTCAGAAACCTTACTATTTAAATGCTGAAGTTTTAAAGACGACTTAAAAGGTTATGCCCCAAAATGTAAACACTGGTTGTCTATGGGTGGGATTTTTTCCTCTTCCATCTAGTATACTGTACAAATTTTCATCTTTCACAATCAGGAAGAAAAATAGTCACTTTAAAAAGAAGAAAGTGGGGCGCTTTGGTGGCTCAATAGGTTGAGCATCCAACTCTTGGTTTTGGCTCAGGTCATGATCCCAGGGTTGTGGGATCCAGCCCCATGTTGGGCTCTGTGCTGAGTGTGGAGCCTGCTTGGGATTCTCTCTCCCCCTTTCTCTCTGCTCCTCCCCACCCTCTAGAAAAAAAGAAGAAGAAGAAGAAGAAGAAAGTTATCCCAGCAGACTGTTCCCATGGTGGGCGGGGGGGTGTAGTCAGGGAAACAAAACTGGCCCTCTCAGCACCTCAGGCAAAGCTCCTGAACTAAAGCCAAATAGTGGTAGTGGAGTTACAGGTGAGGCATGGTCAGAAGCTCCTGAGGAGAATAAAGAGGAGAAACAAAGATAGTCCCATGCTGTAAGCTGGGGTGACTGAGAAGAGTAGGGGACCTTGAACTGTAGAGAAGTGAAAAGGAAGAGAGATTTGGAAGTGAAGGGAACGGTCCTTGGCAGCCATGTAACTGGAAGTTACAACTGGGTGACCAGAGAGAGGCAGGGGATTGCAGCCCAGGAGATAACCGCCCACTGCCCCTTCCACTCACACTGCCTCTTGCTCCTCAGGTATTTGCAGTGGTGGTACCGGAAGACCCAGGTGGAGAAGAAAACACCTTTCATTGACCTCATCAATTGTGTACCCCTGAGACAGATCTATGGTGAGTCTACCCCAGCTCTGCTCTGCACAGAGAGGGCCCAGCCTCTGGGTCTACTGCAGAGCTAGGCAAGAGGCGTCCAGTTTTTGCAAGTTGCACAGCCCCTTTCCCTGGGTTTTTTTTTTTTCCTCCAGCTTTACTGAGCTATACTTGACATAAA